GGGGGGGGGGGGGGGGGGGGGGGCTCTGACTTTTTCACCCCTTTCTCTTCACTTGATACTTGCAAAACAATGCTAAGCTGGAGTTGAGACATTATTGATACGATTGCTGCAGTATTCCTGCTAGAATAAATTGGCCTTTGAATAAATGAACCGTCTCTCTCCCTCTTGTTAACATTGTTGAGAATTTGCACAAAGGAGATTTTTTTTTCCCAGTCCAATTCAACTTTATGCCCGAGGGCATATATTAAAAATACATATGGAACGAGATAATGCATGAGCTACGCAAATTCGTTAGGGATGTCACCGCCTAGAAAGCTCAGAAATGTAGCCACAAAAAATGAGATGTAAAATACATAAAGGGCCTAGAGTCAAACGCTCGGTGAAGTTAACTTTAACACTGTATAGCTGTTCACCAAAAACCGCCCAATACGCATAGTTATCTTAAACTTATTTTTAAATTTACATGTATTTAAGTTTAAAGCTCTCTCTACTGCTCATCTCATTTTAAAGTAGTACAAGGCTAACCAGCGGCATTTAAGTACGATTCATAATAAAACAATAAAAATTTCGCATTTGCAAACTTCTGAAAAGCTGGTCAGCTTACATTGGGGAATCAGACTTTCATGAAGATGTAAACACTTAATACTAACCCTAATATTTAGGTGTTACACATCATCAAGAAAAAAAAAATAGGACATGTCTTCATCTTAAAGTCTATTAAAGATCTGAATTCGTGGCCTCAAGCAAAGCATAATTTGCTCTTATCAAGTTATATACCTGCATACCAAGGGGTCTTCATATAAGCCTAATTTATTTTTATCGCTTAAATTCATCTCTGCTCAAGAATTCAACTATTCAAAAGTTTTGACACGTGCCTTCCGATTGAGTTTTGTTAAAAAAGAGTTATAAACACAACTGGCATTATGCTGTTTAATGCTTCCTTTGAATTAGATGCATTATCTGCACAGATCCGCTCATTAACATAATCACTAATACAGCAGAGATAGAAAAGACTAAACAGCCAAAGGTCGTTTTATTGGAGTCCCTGTTTGGTAATGAAAGGGACAGGGTTTTCTCTCCCTCATATAAAAGCTGGTGGTCGACGCACTCAATGGAAAGCTACGACTGGTCAATGCTTTATTCGATCACTCAGCCATGTGGAAGATGACGGATTTAAATTATTTAGCCTAATCGCTTCATTAATTTTTATGCTGGTGAATCTGCTAATCCCCTTAATAAGACCAATTCATTTTTTTTAAACAACTGTCTCTCCCAAATCTCATATCATTAATTTAAAATGTATACATAAACATTATGCCACCTGTCCAGATGAAAGCATTGAAAGCTAGTAGTTGAATAAAAAATGCGTTAGAGTTGAACAACGTCAAAGAAACCACAAGTACAAGCTGCCGCATAGTCAAAAAGGCACAAAGGAACATAATTCCACATATTTTTCCATAAACACAGAATACTGTATTGCACAGTTCTATTCAAACACGAACGCGCGCTGATTATGCTATTCAAAGCACTGAGAGTAGAAGTCGTCTGAGGGAAAAACACTGACAAGGCAACTAATGAGGCGTGAACAACAGCAGAAAACCAAAGCACCAAATCTCTAAATATCTACTATAGATATGTCTCCATTTGGTTCGTGATAGTAATAGATACCATAGATAGACTAACCATTTGGTTTGATTTAAAAAAAAGCCAGGCGAGAGAAAAGAAGAGGGAAAGGACTAAATTAAAATCGACAAGAAGCAGGTCAAGTTTATGGCAATGCTTTCACGAGCTAATCTCCTCGGGTCAGTTCCGGGATCAAACCGTAATGAAGCAATAATGGGCCACATTATTCCAAATTTTTCAATCCGATGGAATTTAAAAGCCTTAATCGTATGCAAATAACGGCGAGGCAGAGAAAGTGACCCAAAAGACGAGCTGAATGGCCAGAAAAGAAATAGACTCCTGCACGTACCTGATCAAGGGGTCTTGTAATTTCTTCACTGTCTGATTTTGATCCTCCTTCTCTGTCGTCTATAACCAAGTCGATGGGCATCTTTCCCTTCAAACAGCTGATGTACCGATGACAGAAATTGTCACAAAGTTCATGTACCTATAGATAAAAGGGAAGCAAGGAGGGGGGAACAATCACAAAGGGTCATCACAGCGAACTGACAAGTGCATCCAGAACTCCTATTGACATGGAAAACCTCTCCCAATGGCCTTCTCTGATAGCTATCAGACGCATCCAGAATGTGAAATAACTTTACTCCCTCTCAAAATAGAGATATCGCCGAAAATTGACACTGACAAGACGGCTCACGGGCAACACCGTATTCAACACCCGTGTAAAATTCATCTGCTCCCGGGGTTGTGGCCATTAGAGAGATGACCTGCTTGACTGACATTTAAGGTAAACTGTTTAATTTCGTCTAGTTATTTCATTACCGTCTCTTTACAAGGGAATAATATGGCGGATGACATTCAGTGGCGAGGGAAGAATTCTTCATTTATGGCTGAATGCTCAAACTATCGTTTTGCCGTGTTATCTCAACACACATAACCATAGAGGCTCATGCAAATATCTGGAGATTTGGAACCAATGGGTATTATGTTTATTCAATACTGTAAAACTATATGGCTTGGCGATAAATCACTTAATAGGCCCACTCTCGACGTGGAAACAGGTGTTGATAAAATTCTTCCAAAGTGTATTGCTGATAAGTGATATCTACGTGGTCGACTGTATTCCGGAATAACTATAGTCAATAATATAAAATAAATTGACAAAAAACGCTTACAACTACGTTAGGTGGTACAGCATGCAGAGAAACCTTGAAATTACTGCTATGAAATATCTGTGACCGTGGTAGCATGTTGTATTGTAATTAAACTCGGATGAGAAATAGGCAGCATGATTGATCTTGACACTAATTACAACAGACCAGGAAAAATACATTTATGCAGATGAGACCCATAGGTTTGAAGAGAGAACCGGCCAGTTGGGGTACACTTTGATTACCTTTTCGAGCTCCAAAAGATGAAACCGTAAAACTTGAATGGCTTGTATCATCTGGAGAAAATTGACAAATGAAGAAAATAGTTCACTTTAAATGTGACGAAATGAACAGCCCCAAGACGATTACAAACAAATTAAGTGATTTATGACATTTTGGATCATTTATGACTTGAGATCACTTTCAAGACAATGAACTGGAATTAAGTCCAATTATACTTAATTTATAAATAGATTATCACTTTAATCCATGTTTTAATGAGAGGGATGTGTGTCCTCCGTCATCATTAAGCATTAATGCAAAAAATGATTTGTATTAAAAAAAGTTATTCATAGCGATTAGCAATGCCATCGAGAAATCAAACAATTCTGTCTAAAGAACACTTTCTGAATATTTTATAAAAGTTATACATTAAAACTCTCGGAGGCAAATACAAAATAATAATAATCATTTGCACTCACCAAATTATCCAGCTCGGGATTTGATGAAAATAGCGGCTTTTCTGCTCGAATCTGAGACGATATGCATGTAAATCATTTAAAATTGTGAGAAAAAAAATCATTTATTTAAAATGAATAATAAATACATTTTAAAGCATTAATTAGTGCGGGGTTTTTTCTTTCTTTCTTTTTATGATTTAAAGTTGCGGAGAGTACGTCAACGCAGCAACTAAACACATTAAAATATGCAAAAAACTTTTTTGCGCCATAAAAAAGTTTCTGACCTGTTTTGCAAACACTGCTATATCCTCATTGAACGACTCTGATGAACACACATCGCCCCCAGCCACACCGGGCTCTCGAGGTGTGCAAGTGGCTAATTCACATTTCTCAAAAATCAGTGCTAGAAGTGGGAACAGAGGGTGCCTGGAATAAAAACACAGAGGTCAGTGCGGGGAAAACTCTGGATTAGCATATGACAGTTTATAACAGTTTACAACTCCTTCTCGGTGTATAAGTGGTCTGTAATGAAAACGTTAGAACAATCTAATTTACATTTAAGAAATTTCGATTTATTTAACTAATTTTAATTTGTCACCAAACATAAGTACGTGCGTATCACTGCGCTACGGTGATATAGATATAAAGTGTTTAAACATACGTTCATAAATAATAAATACATTTTAAAGCATTAATTAGCCCGGGTTTTTTTTCTTTCTTTCTTTTTATGATTTAAAGTTGCGGAGAGTACGTCAACGCAGCAACTAAACACATTAAAATATGCAAAAAACTTTTTTGCGCCATAAAAAAGTTTCTGACCTGTTTTGCAAACACTGCTATATCCTCATTGAACGACTCTGATGAACACACATCGCCCCCAGCCACACCGGGCTCTCGAGGTGTGCAAGTGGCTAATTCACATTTCTCAAAAATCAGTGCTAGAAGTGGGAACAGAGGGTGCCTGGAATAAAAACACAGAGGTCAGTGCGGGGAAAACTCTGGATTAGCATATGACAGTTTATAACAGTTTACAACTCCTTCTCGGTGTATAAGTGGTCTGTAATGAAAACGTTAGAACAATCTAATTTACATTTAAGAAATTTCGATTTATTTAACTAATTTTAATTTGTCACCAAACATAAGTACGTGCGTATCACTGCGCTACGGTGATATAGATATAAAGTGTTTAAACATACGTTCATGTCGATTATTTTGTTGTGACTTGCATTATAACGAGCTTGTTAGCTCTGTACAATATTGTGTCAAATCACATGTAACTTGGATTCCTGAACGTATTATCTAAGACATCAGTCAACATAAACAGTGGGCTACGAGATCACAGCATCTAAGAAATGCTCACGTTGAGTCTAGGCCAAGCATGCAATTTAACCATGGTTCAAATGGTGGGCCTATATCTTGTGTAAATGTTTATGGACGTATCTAATTCATAATGGATGAGAGTAAGTTCTATAGCTTGTTACTGCGTATTTTGAACGGCAACATTTATATACAGCGCTGTGATGAGAACTCTTGTGCTCGAGCAGTTTTTGTATGCTATAGGCGCATTTGGAGTAACTCCGCAAATCCAGATATGTTTGCACATTTTATGACCAGGACAGATAATCTATGTAGAAAATATCCTTTATGGTTTTGTGTGAGTGCTCATTGTAATTTTCACGGGAATCATTTTTGCGCATCTGTCCAAAAATGTATTTGATCAATTTAACTAATAACTAGGCCTGAAGTTCAAACAATTAAAAATGTATATCTTAAACGCAACATACAATGTGTTTATGCACAATGTCTTTTTTTTTTTATTCAGTATATATCAACATAATTAAAGTTTAAAACTAAATATTATCAGACTTTTAAAACAAACAATATATTTAAAAGATACTGTCACAAAAAGAAAGGCACAAGTTAAAATGGTGAACTAATGTAAAATTGAGAGGGGGACATTTTTAGAATAAAAATAACTTTTAAAAAGATTAAACATTCATGGCGCCTTAATTTCTCGATATGGCTGTTTTACAGCAACTATTACGGGATCAATAATGTGTTATTGGAAAACTTCATCACAGAATATATGTCTTGGCTATCTACACGTACCCGTAAATGGAGTCTTTATCTCTTTTTAGAGCGTCATTGACGGATGAGCCCATGCTGGGCGGCATGGCGTTGGCGTGGACTGTGTGCGGGTACTGGTGGGAGTGGAGCTGGGGCCCGTGATTCAGGTGAACAGCCTGCATGGATCTGGCGGCGACGTGCGGGTCCCCGTACATCGTGCTCGGGATTCCTACTCCGTCCATCCCATAGTGGGGTATATCTTCGTACTGCACACACACGAAGGGCAATATTCCCATGTTGTCACTTGTACCTCTTACACAACATATACATAGAAAAATCTACACTAAAAGAAAATGTAAATGGTAGCTACATCGGATGTTGTCGGGCAAAGAAGTATGGCTTTTGCGAAATGAAAACACTCTGTTCCGTTATTATAAAGTAATTAATTATATCAACTATGCATGCAGACTATCTCGTGGTTCTATCACTAAATGCAAAAATGCCATTTATTGCAAAAAAAAAAAAAAAACTTTCATGTGCTTTTTTTAAAAAAACAGACTGAAACAGACAACAGCGTCGGACACATCAACATGGAGTACTGAGCTACATACAGCTTTATTGAGATCATCTCAAAAATATCACACGACTGTGCAGTGTTATGTTGTGCCACAATTAATATGATTTTTTTTATTTTTACAAGTGCAACTGAAGTAACAGTTAATGCCATTTGCATGTAATAACTGTGTATTACTTGATTACACTGTTGTCAATCTAAATTCATTATATACACTAGTTCAAACATTATCATACTTTTTACATGTATGATGAGTCTAATTAAACAAAAATTGACATTGTCCAATTGTCCAACAGCTTAGTGGTATATTTGATAATCTATCAGTGACATTGATAAGGTATCATAACTATGAAAAGTTTCATCACATTGTAAGGAAACTGTGATGATGAGAACATAACACATTTGAATTCTAAATCTATAGAGGTGTAAGCAAGACAGCAGTTGCACTTCCACTATCAAAAGCAAAAGGTCGGAGAGTTGCTATTAAGTAAGTCTACTTTGTGAGTGTTTACATTTGATTACAAATGCAAGGAAAAAGTGGCCAGCCAGTAAATGTCGACTTTACAAGTTCAAGCGCACAACTATGTTTCATTGTAATGCTGTTTGAAAATAAGACTATTATATCTAGTATATATAAATAATATTGCTGAGTTGAATTTGTTGAACACCCTATTAATATTCCTGCACAGTGTATTATCATAACATGTATTGTAATTACTTTTAGTTATGCGAGTTGAACTATTCTAATAGTTTCAAAGTTTTTCATAATTTGTCCTCGTGAAGAAATTAAAGAAAGTGCAGTGCGTGTTAAAAGTATGGTAAAAAAAGGGGAAAAAAAGGAATTGCTACTTGTCAAACGTAATTAGAGAGTATTCTAATTAAAAATCGTGTCAGTGTCCCAAAACTCTATACAGAGACACATGCATGAAAGTGAGCACGGTGTGAAATTGAACGTAACAACAAACTGGCACGCAAAAGAAGAAAGTTTGACTGCGAATCTGACTGTCATCGGCCACGTTTCAGTATTTCCAGTTGCATTCAACAATACGGAGTCGAAGAAACTTTTCGGGATACGTACCCTCTGCGCCATCGCCCTCCGCACTCCCTCGTCTTCCTTTAATAAAATATATATCCCCTATGAGGCCAGGTTGAATAGGAAATAAACACGCAAATTCCAAACGTGGGATATGTTTTCCCCCAAAAAATCCAACTGCCTCTTTCAAGCGAGCGATGAAGCCAGTCCTTCACCACAAGTTCAGCCTGGCGCGTTCAGCGAATAGGTCCCCTTCGCCTTCTTTCCCGTGGACACCGACAAGGATCGAGCAAAACCTTCTTTTCCAAAACAGTATGAAAATAGCCCCTCAAACAAAACTAGCGCATCTCATGGCTTTTTGCCACTCCGGCTGTCAATCAATCAAACGCGAGCTTGTCAAAGTGCTGAATGAATGATGATCCTCTGCGCGCTTCCACTGGTTAGCACCCCTAACGAGAATACTACTCAAATGCACAAAAATGAAGCTCTCTCTCGTTTCTTTGATCACTCTCTGCTCCTGAGTTGATTTTTTATGCAATAGCTTCTAAATGAGATCAAGAGGAGGTGGGCTGATAATTCTGGCTTAGTTTTTCTTAAAGGAGCCACGATCGATGCTGCGAGCTGCCGTTCCCCGTTTGTGTACAATGAGTGTGTGTTGAACGCGGCTCAGCAGCTGAATCTGGACCAGACTGCTGAAACCCGGAAGTAGTGGTGGCCATAACAGGTCGCGTCTTGCACAATGCGATGGGCCACATCAAGTTCCAACCAAAGCAGGGGGGGTGAAGTGTGTGGGACGCAGAGATGCGCGGACCACCACTACCACGATTCAACATGAACCGAGCTGTAACACACAGAGACCGCGCTGTGCTTTTGGTTGGTTTCGGCACTGCGCTCGTTATGCGTGCCAAGACATGCGATGTATAAAGTCATGTACGTGTTTATATAAAAACAGTATTATATATAACTACAAATGGAGAGTGGACTCTTTCACATCAGGTCACTCTCAACACACTGTTTATTATCATTTCTGATCAGAGTATCCAAATGGGAGAGCGCTGTTTGCTATAGTCGAGAAACTTGAAAACCCTGTTCAGTGTGCGTAATGAAGTTTTCCCGCACGCCGTGTATTACGCGGAAGCCCAGAGAAATGTTCCGCACTAATATTACGAAATACACTTTTTACCATATGCCTGGCTACTTTACATTTCACACAAACATCATTATTTAGAAACAGCATATGCTGCGCTTCACAAGTGCTGTGCGCGCTCTCAGCCAAAACACCCCCGCCATTATACATAGAAAAATCTACACTAAAAGAAAATGTAAATGGTAGCTACATCGGATGTTGTCGGGCAAAGAAGTATGGCTTTTGCGAAATGAAAACACTCTGTTCCGTTATTATAAAGTAATTAATTATATCAACTATGCATGCAGACTATCTCGTGGTTCTATCACTAAATGCAAAAATGCCATTTATTGCAAAAAAAAAAAAAAAACTTTCATGTGCTTTTTTTAAAAAAACAGACTGAAACAGACAACAGCGTCGGACACATCAACATGGAGTACTGAGCTACATACAGCTTTATTGAGATCATCTCAAAAATATCACACGACTGTGCAGTGTTATGTTGTGCCACAATTAATATGATTTTTTTTATTTTTACAAGTGCAACTGAAGTAACAGTTAATGCCATTTGCATGTAATAACTGTGTATTACTTGATTACACTGTTGTCAATCTAAATTCATTATATACACTAGTTCAAACATTATCATACTTTTTACATGTATGATGAGTCTAATTAAACAAAAATTGACATTGTCCAATTGTCCAACAGCTTAGTGGTATATTTGATAATCTATCAGTGACATTGATAAGGTATCATAACTATGAAAAGTTTCATCACATTGTAAGGAAACTGTGATGATGAGAACATAACACATTTGAATTCTAAATCTATAGAGGTGTAAGCAAGACAGCAGTTGCACTTCCACTATCAAAAGCAAAAGGTCGGAGAGTTGCTATTAAGTAAGTCTACTTTGTGAGTGTTTACATTTGATTACAAATGCAAGGAAAAAGTGGCCAGCCAGTAAATGTCGACTTTACAAGTTCAAGCGCACAACTATGTTTCATTGTAATGCTGTTTGAAAATAAGACTATTATATCTAGTATATATAAATAATATTGCTGAGTTGAATTTGTTGAACACCCTATTAATATTCCTGCACAGTGTATTATCATAACATGTATTGTAATTACTTTTAGTTATGCGAGTTGAACTATTCTAATAGTTTCAAAGTTTTTCATAATTTGTCCTCGTGAAGAAATTAAAGAAAGTGCAGTGCGTGTTAAAAGTATGGTAAAAAAAGGGGAAAAAAAGGAATTGCTACTTGTCAAACGTAATTAGAGAGTATTCTAATTAAAAATCGTGTCAGTGTCCCAAAACTCTATACAGAGACACATGCATGAAAGTGAGCACGGTGTGAAATTGAACGTAACAACAAACTGGCACGCAAAAGAAGAAAGTTTGACTGCGAATCTGTCATCGGCCACGTTTCAGTATTTCCAGTTGCATTCAACAATACGGAGTCGAAGAAACTTTTCGGGATACGTACCCTCTGCGCCATCGCCCTCCGCACTCCCTCGTCTTCCTTTAATAAAATATATATCCCCTATGAGGCCAGGTTGAATAGGAAATAAACACGCAAATTCCAAACGTGGGATATGTTTTCCCCCAAAAAATCCAACTGCCTCTTTCAAGCGAGCGATGAAGCCAGTCCTTCACCACAAGTTCAGCCAGACGCGTTCAGCGAATAGGTCCCCTTCGCTTTCTTTCCCGTGGACAGCGACAAGGATCGAGCAAAACCTTCTTTTCCAAAACAGTATGAAAATAGCCCCTCAAACAAAACTAGCGCATCTCATGGCTTTTTGCCACTCCGGCTGTCAATCAATCAAACGCGAGCTTGTCAAAGTGCTGAATGAATGATGATCCTCTGCGCGCTTCCACTGGTTAGCACCCCTAACGAGAATACTACTCAAATGCACAAAAATGAAGCTCTCTCTCGTTTCTTTGATCACTCTCTGCTCCTGAGTTGATTTTTTATGCAATAGCTTCTAAATGAGATCAAGAGGAGGTGGGCTGATAATTCTGGCTTAGTTTTTCTTAAAGGAGCCACGATCGATGCTGCGAGCTGCCGTTCCCCGTTTGTGTACAATGAGTGTGTGTTGAACGCGGCTCAGCAGCTGAATCTGGACCAGACTGCTGAAACCCGGAAGTAGTGGTGGCCATAACAGGTCGCGTCTTGCACAATGCGATGGGCCACATCAAGTTCCAACCAAAGCAGGGGGGGTGAAGTGTGTGGGACGCAGAGATGCGCGGACCACCACTACCACGATTCAACATGAACCGAGCTGTAACACACAGAGACCGCGCTGTGCTTTTGGTTGGTTTCGGCACTGCGCTCGTTATGCGTGCCAAGACATGCGATGTATAAAGTCATGTACGTGTTTATATAAAAACAGTATTATATATAACTACAAATGGAGAGTGGACTCTTTCACATCAGGTCACTCTCAACACACTGTTTATTATCATTTCTGATCAGAGTATCCAAATGGGAGAGCGCTGTTTGCTATAGTCGAGAAACTTGAAAACCCTGTTCAGTGTGCGTAATGAAGTTTTCCCGCACGCCGTGTATTACGCGGAAGCCCAGAGAAATGTTCCGCACTAATATTACGAAATACACTTTTTACCATATGCCTGGCTACTTTACATTTCACACAAACATCATTATTTAGAAACAGCATATGCTGCGCTTCACAAGTGCTGTGCGCGCTCTCAGCCAAAACACCCCCGCCATTTGTGAATGGGCTCATCCACTTACTGTAGGATCTTAGGAGTTTGGTGCAGTGTCCAATGAAAGCGTGCTACAGTGAATCAAATCATCCATTGGTTCAAAGAATGGTCAATCATTAATTTATCGGTCGATATGCTTCCATTAATGAAGAAAGGGTGGAATGAAAATATTGTAATCTGGAGGGAAAATGTAGTCTTCGTATTCTGTTTTGTTCCTTTGCTACTCACTCTCTCTCTTTCACACACACACACACACACACACACACACACACACACGTAGTCTTCTCTTCCACTTAAACACACATAATACTCACTGAGAAAATGAATTATTTTAATATATAAATGTGAATGTTTGTTTATTATTTTTATATTGTAATTAAAAGGAAACCCGAGAATGTAATTAATATTTTATGCTACAAAGTTATTCCTCTTCTGACAAGAACTCCCTCGTGCCATCATATTCCTATTCCTTTCATTCCAAGTCGTAGATAGAACTTTTAACTACTTATTCCAGTATTTTCAGTGTCAGTCTGTACAGTGCAAACTATTCTATTTTACAATTAGAAAAAAAGTGGTTTGTGTTCTGGTAAATTTAAAATACATCAAGGAAGCTGTCTGTTTTTATAAATAATAAATATTCCATAAAATACTCAAATGAAATAGCTGAATTAGAGGCTTTAAACATACACTGACTGATGTAGACTGAAGAGCACCATTGTGGGCAATACAACTGACCCGGTGACAAGGTGTATGAAGTTTGTCTGAGGAGCATCTGTCATCGATCAGAAGCGATTAATGCAAGGAACAGTGTCTTATCAGCTGCCGTGAGCATCGCACAACCCTCGCTTCCCGCGGAAGAGCAGCGGTGGGATCCGCCGCGCACATTTACAGGCATGAAATTACTATCAAATCCCCAAAGCGCTCGGCAAACGAAGAGTGCTCGCTGCGCGGGTGAGGGATCTGATGTGGACTTAAACACAAATGAAAGGAGGATTCATGCAACAACAAATACACGCCTAGACGCCGTACAACAGATACACACGCACGCGTTTATTGGTAAGTAGGCTGTAATATCTTTTTCAAGTACATACTATAACAATAACGTTTTAGTTTATCTAAATTATTGTTAGTTCAAAAATGATTTTTAATTTCAGTTAAGTCGCCTATGTACTGTAGGTGTAATGCATATTATAATTTATATGTGGCCTGAGTTAACTCATTTGTTTTATTGATGTTTGTAATCTCAACATTAGTTTTGTGTCTGTCTCAATTATGTGAGAACCAAACGGGATGACATGAAAGCTGTGCTTACCCAAACGCTTAACTGCTGTCACAGTACCAGAATAGCATTATAAAGTAATTAAGTTCCTTCAATTAGCATCTATAAAAGCACGCTATAGAGCACAATGAGGGCATGGACTTTCACTGTTTAAGTTGCCTTTTAGTGAGGGTCAGCAGATTGCAGCACGCATCAGTGAGTTAATGCCATCATTTCAGATAATTTGGGCTTAGAAAGAGATGTGAATCTTATGTGGAGTTTAAAAATAAGTCCGACTCTTTACCGAGTAAATTGAACTGTGCGCCTGATGCATTATCAAAAAAATATATATGTATATATAAAGATAAAGCATATCTTTGCATCACTGGCAACATTTGTACAACTGCGTGTAGCGTTGCGTGTGCTTAAAAGTATTTTATATAACTTCATTTAGACATAATTAATTTTATTAACTAAAATGTATGTATATACTTAGGAAAATATGTACTAAGTATATCGTGCATATCTATTAAGTATGAAGTGGCATATAAAATGCCTATTTTTAGAACAAGGGGCCTCTGAACAAATCGACTGCTCCATCTAACAGAAATTCATTTTAGTCTTAATCCTGAAAACAAGAACGTGTTGGAACGCATCAAGTCATTTGGATGTTTATTACAAGAACGCTCCCATTCTGCCTCAATATTTGTTATTCACTTGAATCTTTCTCTGCCTAAGTCGCTATTGAAACCAACATGCCGCTGTGGTTCAGAAGTCAAACGGAGGTCATCCTTTATATCCCCCCCGCAGCAATCTGCGACCAGGGGCCAGTCAGCAGTGAACCCTGCCATTTCCACTACTGACAGCTGCCTCAAAGTTACAAGACTATCGGGAATGGGTAAGACGCGCCTGGATAAAACAGCAGGCTACTAACTTTTTCTTGATCTTGCCACTGTCTGGTTTTAATGCTCTTACAGCGTGTTTCAAGTGCTTGTCAAATGTAAAGTGTGTGAATATTCAAATAATCCTGTATCTATTTTAAGAGTTTCCTTATCCGAGCGCACAACGGAGACGTTTTTGACAATCAGTAATTAATTTCAATTTTAAAAAGGGAATAGCCTACTTATTTACTAATCGTGAGGAAAATGAAATTAATTGACCTGACAAGGTTGCACATATAATATAATAACAAAACTGTAAAACTAAAAAAAAAAACTACAAAAAAAAAAACTTTGGGAACTTTGGATGGTTCATACGTTTTCTAAGCTAAAGACTTACGTAAATTAATCAGATGCGTGCATGCGTCCGGAAATTTTATGTACAATTAGTCGGAAGGAAAAAACAACAACATTGGCTAAAATAATTTTTATACTACAGATGTAGTTAAAATTATTGGATTCAGGATTCAGGCTTTATTTATATTTGTATTAGTTGGAAGCATTAAAAAGAACGCGCTATTTTGAATGAGCATTTCTTTATTTATAATATAGTCTACATATTCATAGGTCTAATTAAAATTAGAAATCAGTCTGTTTTTCTTTTATTTGGCGTTGCGGTTTTATTTTATTTTGCTGTTTTTTTATTTATGCTAGATCTTATTATTTGAACAAACTTTCTTAATTGAGAAGCGTACTTCAGGCCTATTAGATTTGCAATTATGTAAACTACTACACAAGATCCAAAAGAAAAACATATTTGTCATATGCAAGGGCTTGCAGTGACCTTTATGCTTGATCATGTGCGCCTTCTACTGGAAACATGCAGAATTTTCTTTCTTTGTTTCTTAATGAGACGCAATTACTTTTCTGACACACACACACACACACACACACACACACACACAAACAAACAGGCGAATTGCAGTCAGTAATATCGTGTCATTCTTAAATAATTCCTAAAATGTTAATTCCAAGTTTATTAATGATGATAATCAATTATGAACAGTTAGGAGACTGCATATTTATTAATGAATATTTAAAACTACTTGACAAAGTACTTGTTTGATGACGGATCAGAGTGACAGATCGTCAAAAGTTAAAGTCTGGTAACTAGACTTAATCATCTTTATTAGCCTAAAAGTTTATTCTTCCATTATTAAAAAAAAATAATAATTAATAGCTAAAAGTTATTAAATAAATTACCCGTTGACTTCTTGAAGTTTTCGGCTGTAAATTATTTTCAATTTCCCCGTTACTAACAAACATCAATTAGGATTAAACACAAACAGTAACTTTAAAATGATACATCTAAATGAATATGCAGGTAATTATAATATATTTCATTTACGCACGTCTGCGCCATAATCAAACATTAGAAACTAAACAACAGAAGGGTCGATAGCACTTCAGAAATTATAAGACATCGTTTACTTACTTTTCTATAGGCTAAGTTGTAAATATTATAATTAATTTTATTCACTACGGCTTATTATTGGATTTTACACTACGAAAAGAGCATAACGCAGTTTGCGATAACATCAGTACATTACTAGTGAAGCATAAAGAAAAGCACTTGTGAGATATTAATATGTTGTTACATTTAGTTTGTATCTTTAAGAATATTGTTGAAAATGACTAAAGAAACAACATGTTATCAATGCAACTCACTGTAAATGTCTGAAAACGAGATTTATATTAAAACAACACCCAAATACTTACTTGCATTTGTGTTTTTATTATTAACATCAAGCTTTAGCGTTTTCACATATAGGACGATTTCTGAATTTGTCAGCTTGCCCTGTTGACACAGTTGGGATTGGAAAATACTGTGTCTGAGTCTCTGAGAACGTGGTGTGCTCTCTCCCACCCTTTCTCTTGCTCTATCAGCTATAAGTGCCAAAACATTTGTCACTTGAGTTATTATTTCAGGTGTGCTAATGGGCTCAGAGCCACCAGAGAGGAGGAGAAAGTGGGAGAGAGAGGCAGAAGGAGAGGGGGGGAGTTTGATTAGTGTGATTTCATTTGACCGAAGCCTGGCCACAGGCTGGCAGAGCCCAGAGGTGAAAAGAGTAGGCCACTGCCCTCAATGAGAGATAGCGCGAGGGGGAGAAAGAGAACGGGAGCGAACGACGGAGGGTTTGTGACGCCTGAGCCAATCACAAAGTGCAGGGATGAGTCTCACACCTCCAGAGGAGGCTGTGAATTGATCAGCACCTTT